AACGCTATGCATCAGCACTTGCGGAAGAGCAGACGCAAATTAGAGAACTGCATGAATTCATTCCCATCCACTTCCATCGTTTAATGAAGGATAGCCAGCATCTCGGCAACCTGGTATGTCTGTTTTACGCCATTCATTTCATATGTAAAAGTAACAAATTGTTTTTTTATAATCTAAGTTTCAAAAAAGGCTACGCAGTGGCCGTTCAGATGTCATTTTCAAAATTCGTGGCGAAGCCAGCAAAATATTTGGTCTCCCACAGCATTATTTTGAAGTCCTGTTTGACAGGACCTCAGTTCCGGAGCTGAAAATATTACAAGGAGCCAAACTGGTCGGAGAGCAAATAAAGTATGATATGTTCCCACCTGTTCTGTTTCCTGACGGTGTAATGGACATGAAAAATGTCTTTGGAAGTACCGCAATTGCCAAGGTAATGTAGTCACTAAAATCATGTACGAGAACTGACTTACCATTGTTGCTCAGATTCTCAAAGTCGCATTTCATGGACCAAAGTCACTTGAGGGTGGCCGCGCTGGTGGTAAAAGTAATGCAAAAACATGGGATGTCACCATGAATACTCCAGGATCTCTAGCATGGGGAGCAGTTGTGGTGAGTTAAAAGTAGACTATTCTGAGCGGCTGTCATTCTGATCTTGCTATATAGGCTGTTTTCTTAGTTTCTCCTGACGAAGAATTTCCACATGATGGCAAAGGTGCCAAATCAGGTTTAAAGTACTTTGACCTGTTCCGCAACTACAAGAAAATCCTCATTATGAAAGCTGACAAGAAACAAGTCAAAGAGATATACAAAATCTTTGACCGGTACATTTTTTCTTCACGCAAGACTATTCAGGCAGTTATAGCAGGGCAAGAAGATCACTATAACGAAGAAGTTGAACAAGCAATGGCCAAAATGGATATTTTTTCTGACGAAGATGATATTGAAGTAGTAGTGGCAACCGCTGCACCATCTGCCGTGCAGATTAATGTTTTATCTACTGATAACATTTTCTCTCGCAAGCTCGTTGGCACTGATGGAGTTGATATTTTAGAGGAGGAGGCCAGAGATAATATTACCAATGCACCGGTGATGAAAACCAAGAAGGGTCAAAGTGGTAAAGGGAAGTCTGCAGAAGTAGCTACAGGTAGTACTGAAATTGGCACCACTACTACAAAGCGCACTCATCGTACCAAGTAGCTATTTGATTTCATACTCTAACATATTTGTTACAAATCAACCTTTGCTGATACTTGTGTGGTGTTGCAATCACTTCGTAAGTACATTACAAGCAGTCCAGCAAAAGAATTAGTTATATTGATGTACACTTCTATAGTAATGTCAGCTCTTTGGCGAAGTGGTTATATTGAAAAAAAAACTTGGTTGCAATGGCTCTTGCAAGTGGGGTGGCCGCGGGTTCAAGTCCCTGTCAGTACAAATACCATACTTACAATTGGAATAAAATATTGCAATTTATTTTGTCTCTTGCAAAGCCAAAAAAATATTGTTTTTCAGATACTCCTAAAGGGGATACAATATTGATTGCAATTGATTACAGGTTTCAGACCCAGTGATTACGATTAGATTGTAGTTGCATTGCAAAGATAAGGGTTTTCCCGATAATCAATTGCAACTGGTGCCGTTGATTGTGGGCTTGCAATCCAGTGCAAAACCTTGCAGCCACTTCCAGAAATCTCCGACACACGTGACCAATGTTCAGAACGGTCAGTCGACCTATTTTTGTTTCCAATGTAGGCGCCAGTGTGGCCCAGTTTTATCATGATTCTTTTCTTTATCCATCAGCTTTGTTTCATCCAAGACAAACGCCATTCACGATGAGTCAAGAATCCCCGCATTCACCTGAGCCATTCGCATTCAAATCGCATGATTCAAACCCACAAATCACTCCTCCTCGCCTCCCAAATTCGACCTCTCGCGAAGTGAAAAGCACTCCTCTAACCAAAAGTACACACACATCACAAAGGTATTCTGACCAAAATGTGATGCTTACAGAACGGACACCACGGGGTCAAAGTGTGATGGAAGAACTGGTCTACAATGAACTACGTGATGCACGCTTCGAGAGCAAAAAGGTGATGGAACACTTGTGTCCCGCAGATGATGGCGTAACGCACCTTGTCCTGGAAGAACTCAGAGAACGAGGAATTTTTTCTGACCAAGGGCTTAATTTTGATCAAGAAAATTGGCCCCAGGGGGCGCGAATCAAAGAGACTGACTATTACTTACCATTCACGAAACTTCTGAACCGGATCATCAACACTTCCGAATCTCACCTTTCCGCAGACCCTAAAATCCCTAAGGACCGCTATTATCACGGTCTACGCTTCTACAATTACAATAAAGAAATGAAGGGCGGGACCACCCATGCATTGAAGCCAGATTTAGTGTCTTTAAACGGTGTCGCTGACGACTCGGAGCTGGATGGTCAAGTGTCATGGCAAGATCTCGCTATTGCGTGCGAGGTGAAGAACAACTGGAATGTGCTGATTAAACAGGCCGGTACCTACGCACGATGCACATTCGTTGCTCACGAGAACCGTTACTTCGTTTTGGTTATCGGCTTCAACCACAAAACTTCCGAAGTTCGATTCTGCTTCTATCAAAGATCTGGGGTGGTTTACAGCCCTGCGCTGAGTCTAAAGACAGAGGATGGCTTTGCCGCTTTTGTAAAGGGCATAGTGGGCATACTTTCATGGGAGAACGATTCGAAGGCTGGGATCGATCCATCGCGGAACAATCACTACTTCTTGATCCCAAACTGGGGCCTTTACAAGGTCGTTGACTTACTCTGTCGTCGCCAATCTATTCGGGGTCGTGTCACACATGTTTATCATCTGAGAAAGGTCGATGATGCGAAAAAGATATTGGATGATCCACTCAGCAATGTCATAGACCTTACGATAGATACTTCCACTGCTCGATATCCCACCTCCACCTCACGCCCGCGCACTGAAGGCATCGCACCTTCTTCTAATCGAACCTCTACCGCCTCAAGTATTGGGAAACGATCACGCAAACATGTCGTTGAAACTGGAAGCAGCAAGCGCCACAAGTCAGGCTCTGATCACCCAGCAAACAAGCAATATCAAGGCTCCGAGAAGCTTGAATGGCAAGGAATTGATCGCAACGATGAATCCCCCCTTTTCCCAACTTACCAGCCTTCGCCCATCCCCGAACTCGACCTCTGTCCTCCGCCACCTTCCATGATCCTGAAAGATTCATGGCCTTTGGACGGCCATGACGAGGTTGAAGTTTTTCGTTTCACTCAAGGAGAGATGGGAATACCTGAAGTTTACGCCCAGTACACAGTTGAACATGGTAAAAAGGGGGCGTGGGTTGAGGAGGAGATTAGAAAAATATTTCTTCTGGAAGAGATAGAATTCATATACCAGGGGTCAAAAGATACACAATCGAAGGGACCCAACAGTCAGGCGGAGAAGGAAACACAATCTAAGATGGAAAATCAGGAGGAAGACGTGAAGATGGAAAACAGAGTACATAAGCGATTGATATTGAAAACGGAGTGCTGTAAGTTCCGGACGGCTGCGGGGCCGTACCAATTCTTAGAAGGCATGCTCCATGGAATGATGGGTGAGTATTTCCCCGTTTTGACGTCGCTTAGGACTGATGCTCCCTTTCTAGGTCACTATAATATGTATAAGGATGGATGGCTGCACCGCGATGTCAGCGATGGTAACGTTCTATTGTTACCAGAGCCCAAAATACGAAAGCCTCTGACACGGTAGGTCCTCTTAAATTGATAATGAGCTCAAAGCGGTATTGATGTCAAAGTATTCTAGGTTCGAATGCACCAAGAACTTGACAAAGTGCGTGGGCGTGATCTCTGACGGCGACCAGGCAATCAGATGGCGAGAGCTAGATCGTGAGCTTGGGAAACATCGTTCGGTAAGTAGCTCATCTTCGGGTTAGCCTGTCATTCAGTCTTCAAATCTCTTCAGGGAACACTCCCTTACATTTCTAGGCGAGTGCTGAACGCGTGGAATAAAAATCAACCCGTGCTTCATACATTTGCGGATGACTTGGAATCTTTCTTCTGGGTGATATTATGCGTGTTGTTGAGCATTGGCCACGAACGCAAAAGTTTAACGGAGGACGAGAGGTTGTGGCTTTTTGAAATACTCGCTGCAGACGATCCTGGCTCTAGCGACAAGACTAAAAGATGGGCGCTATCGATGCTGGAAGAATCACTCCCGTATAACGATTTTTCCCCTATTGTGATGGTTTTCGTGCCCTTTTTCACGGAAATCATACCGCTCATGAAAGAGTCTACGGCGACTGTTCAAAGGCTCAATTCAGACAACTTGGTTGAATCTCTAACGACACTCGGAGACAAATATTATGAGTTGTGGTTCAAAGCTTTCCTACGTGCACTGCCGTCATTGCCCAAGACCTGGGACGAAGTTTTGAAAACCACAATTTGATCATGGAGACGCTTTAACGCTTGACCATACATATCTCGTCACTGTTCTCCCAACCGTCATCCCTGGACTATCCTATACATATCAATATGTATGTATCTACTTTGTTTGTTTGCTGTTCGTTGCACCCTGAGAGGTACACACTTGAAAGATTTATTATTTGTCCTATAGTGACAAGATTTGAACCATGATCAAATCAAATCGATACAACAGTATTCCCAGCTCACTTCCTTAGCCTATATTATATCCGCTTGCCTTAAGAGTTCTCCTCAACCCCGGGCTCTTGTTTAGATTCAGGCCCCGAAATTATATCTTCCCCTTCCCTCCTCCCTTCGATTTCATCCTTGTCTCCACCCTCCTCAGCATCGACAAACCACGCCCCCGTTCACGTGCCATCGTCCCACCTTTCCTTCTCCACAGCCCTCATCACCTCCTTCCCCATCTCTCCATCGCTTTCTTGCCTACTTCTCGTCTCGCTTCCTCCTTTTTCAGTTTCTCCTTAAGTTTTCTACACTCTCAAAATTTCTTCCTCCTTCTCCATCCTCTTCCCTCCCAGGTCGCTCGCGTAGCTCCAAAAGCAGACCTGCGAAAGTGTCATGTAGCTTGCGCGCCCCGCGTCTGATGGACCTAGTAGGCCTGCTTTGTGCAGGAGCGTTAGGTATCTGGCACGCGAATCGGGAAGCTCAAAACCTTGGAGGATGGTGTCATTCTAAGAGGATAGTCAGTAGCACCTAATGTGGCAAGTAGGTTAGCAGACGGATAAAGTGAGGCGTACATGGTCACGAAGAACGGCTGAGAGGTGGACTACCTCTCAGGTGGTCCAGCGGCGCAGCTGTTATGTTCACTTTTTTCCGACTGGGCTCATTGAAAGGCTCTGTTGATGGTGGAGTAGTAGCCTTCTCGTCTTCATTTGGGTTTGGTTCACTGGCCACTTCCTTACCCTTTACACTGGTACTGGTCATGCTAGTACTGTCACAGTCATAAAGTCCGAGCCACGCTCTCCACAACTCAAGCTTCACTCCATCTGTACCCAAGCGCCTTAGTAAAGTATGGCACCGTGCCCAATCCTTCTCATCGCCTTTCCAAACCCGATTAGACTCCCCGAGAAACTGATCAAGCGCCGATCTCGACTTCTCGCGTCCTTCTTTGTTATCGTAGCTGTCCTCATCCACGCGCTTTAGATCATTTTTCTTGAGATTTTGAGCCGGACGCATTGTGAGTCTGACCCGCCGCTGCGTCGCACCCACGCTCCAGTACTCAAGCTCCCCACCTCTGCGCGCCAGCTGTGCGGACGGAACATCCAGTTGTAATTCGAATCCGTCGTGTTGTACCTCGCCTGAGTCAGTGCGCATGTCGATCATCCACGCATTTGAGACCCAGCGCGTGATTTCTGTGCGAGATGACGCCGGGTCTGTGCTTTGTTTGTCCTAGTCAATTACAAGAGTTGTGGAAAAAACATTTCCACCAAACAAAGTGTATGCCCCTTTTGCAGTTCGCAGTCGCCCCATTACTAGGGAACATCCTTGATCATGGGGTAGGTTTTCTTAATCCGCTCTGTTGACCCTTGGTTATCTCACGAATATATGTCTTAGAAATTCAAGCTTCAAGTGTTAAATGGCTTTGTATTAGTATGTCAGTAGCTGTATTGAATGTTTGTGAAATTTGTTATACAAGCACTGTTATGAGGAATATCTATGTCCGTTTACTCAGTTTCAAAAGATCTGCCGAGTTCTTGATTGCGTTCTAGTGTCAGTATAACACACTCATAGTGGTTTGAATAGAGCCAACAATCAAAGTAACTTCTTGAGTATCGCTAACATTGATCGAGAATGAGGGTCATCAGAGAAACATGAAAGGAGAGATAGATACAATAACCTCCCACACATTCAAATAAGTACACGTTCAGAATCGAAACATCGTACACTTACAAAGTCACAGCGTTCGAGTAAATATCTCCAAGTTTAATCTTGCATCCATTGATCCAGGACACCTAGTAAATGAGGGACACCATCATGCTCATCCTCCAACAGGATTGCAAAATGCTTCCGCATGTAAAAAGCCTTTTCCATCTCTTCCGGATAAAACCCAACATATTCCCAGTTTACGATGGCATTGATTTTGAGCGTTTTCTCGTCGACAATGATATTACTATGACCCAAGTCGTTGTGACAAAGTACGAACTGTTCTGTGCTTGCGGCCTTGAATTTCTTTGGCTTGTCTTGTGGCAAGACCTTGGCCAGGCGGTAGGGCAGACAAATGTCGCTTGTAAAGCTGCCCATAACCTTCGACTTGACTCCTTGCATGGTCTTTATATAACCCTTCAGCTCCTCTATGACGACCTTCCTCTGATCCTCCGCAAGATTTACCATAGACGTGCCAGGTACTGCATCCATGATGATATAGTAACAGCCATTATCTTCGAAATGACAACGGATGGTTGGGACCGGGAAATTTGTGTTCTCCTTGATGTACTTGATGGCAGCTACCTCGTTCTTGATCCTTTCCAACTGCATGAATGGTACCACAAGGTTACCCTTGATGTCGATAAGCCACTCGCGAGGACTCAGCGTCCTCTTGACAAATACGTCGCCGGTGCTACTCTCAAGTTCATAGTACTTTTTCTCCACATTGATACCTATGCATCCTATCTCCTTAGCGCACTAAAAAAGATCATGAATGAGCTCCCTTCGGCAAGGCCGAACTACCAGCGATTAACATGAGTGTATTGACCAATAGGCGAAACTGTGGTCTACACAGCAAACACGTGCAAAGATTAACGGTTTGTAACATATCATTGCATATCATACTCACTGCATCAACATCTTCCAACACCACACCAGGACACTGCCTTTTCAGTTCAGGGCCTGCAAAGAGAATGCCAGTATACATGCGTCCGGAAATGATATTAATAAGGCCAGGAGGGAACCCCGCTTCGACAGTCAACTGCGCAATATATGTGGCCTTAGGAAAACTGATAAGTTGCACAGATGCTTCTAAATTACTCTACAACTTACGCTCAAGGTCTGCCCAGAGCTCGCAGGGGTGAACTGTGATCATTTATTATCAATGCTGAAGCTCTTTTTTTGTCTACAAATTGATTGACTCGAACACTGACCTCGCCGTTAATAAACAATGTCGTTTCAAAGTTGTGCATAGTTTCTGGGGGATATGCGTAGAATTGATACTGATGAGTTGTGCGATGAGGATAAATAGTGGGTTTATCAACTTCTGCATCATCGTGAATAACCTGTTATATCAAAAGTCTGGGCTGTTAAGGTTTGCCAATATGTGTGACATGTTATTTGGTGCAGTGGGTACTGACGTGCGCAGGGCACGGTGTATGTTTTCTGGTGACAGGGGGCAGGCATGGGGCCCTATTTTTGCTTCGATGAATGGAAGCAATATATCAGTGCTCCACGATATTAGTTTGTGCCTCCATTGTTGTGCTTCATTCTGGCTAGCCTGCATTGGCGTGAACTGAACTTCAAAGCTTCTTATCGAAACTGGGGTCACCAGGCACAGCATCTTAACACACGAATCAAGTTATTGCAACAACAACTATTGTGAACTTGCTTGGACGCGTCCACGAGAAGATGAGATGAGATAATGATGACCAGCATTAAACAAAAGCCACACTTACTCAAAACATATACCATGGGAAGCAAGCCTTGTGCTGATAACCGAGGGTACACACATTGGGAAAACGATGACGCCTGGCAGTGGTTTAATCAGGCGGGGTTTGTATGCCACTGGATCAATCATCAGCAATTATCTACCTTTTGCAAGGGTTACACTATAAGAAACACTTCAAATGGAAGTGATGCAACAGCCAAGTCTAGATGAATATACCAGTGATGATATCGAAATAGTCTTCACACACCTCCGCCAGTTCCGAGTCATCTTTAGGAAGACGCGAGTCTGAAGAAGATTCCATAGCGCTACATATATCAGTGAACATACCTATTACAGTACAACATCATTTTCGAACCCTTGAAATACACGAGGCATAGTCCAGACCAGCTCTAGTTTCTATTGACGACACTGCTTAGAACTACATCTAAGACAACCCAGCTGCTTTACACTGTGTGTCCTGCTGATCGCACTGACTCACAGTAAGTCCACTTGCCGAACCCGAATTCGCTGCATCCGCACACTGGTTATGCTGGATGTCGCATGGGCGGCCCAAGGCTGCAGGTAGGTTGACAAAGCTATCGGACCCTTGGACCACAAAACCAGTTCCCCCCGCTGTCACTGCAGGCGCAGTGACCCCACCCACTATCATATGACCGTTATTACATGATGTCACAAAAAATCAACGTCACGTACAAGCACCAGTGAATGTCTGCAAATTTTGACCGCTGGCAGCGGCGGAGGTAGTAGCTGACACGCTACGCATATTGCAGTTTATAAATCCCGTGTCTACATGAATAACAGAAAACGACTTACGATGCAGATACAGTAGCGCTCGCCACAACAAATGTCTGAGTGGCTGGTACTGCTGCAACTCTATCCATTGTGTTTTGAGTATATAGGGGGGTAAAAAGTTTGGGAGATGACTCACGAGGAGCTCGATGCAGCTACGCCACCGGCAGCTGAACTCAAACCTCCAGAAGAAGTAGCCTTACACTGCGTATCTTGCTGGTTGCATTGCATTGACTAACCGCAAGTCCGCTGCTACTATTCGAGTTTGCAGCGTCCGCACATTGATTGTGCTAAGTTGTTCATCTATGAAACTTGAGACCTCATCTCTTTCTGGAGCAGAGAGTGGTATCATGTGTCCTTTTCTCGGTTTAAAGGTGTCCTTCAAATCTATAGCATGGTCCCAAGGCTTAGCCTCTGGGAAGCGCTCTAATTTATGTTTAGAAAAGTCTTTCCAGAAGTCATGGTACTTGGGAGGTACCAGCCTCTTAATCACTTCTTCGGGTTTTACCTCATCATCGTCATCGTCAATCTTTTCTAAAGATTTGAGCTCATAAAGGTGACCAGTGTTTATCTTTTCAAGACGCTCACTGTGACGGACGTGATTTGGCCTACCCAAGACATTCCTGAGGGCAACGTGACAATGTGACAACCCCTGTCTGCCAGTTGATCTCAGGATTGTGTTTAAATAGCCAGGTCCATGTCACGATTTGAACCAAACCGCTAGTTTCTTTTGATTCATTATTTAAATACATCTGATCACATGACAAATCTCGTGACAAAAGCACATGACTCATTATGTAAACAAAGTAGTTAGTTATATCCGATCACGTGACAACCATGTGACAAAGCCTAGACTATGACGCACAACATCAGTCAGCGCCTCATGGCTAACATTCAGAATGTATATATATTGACACCCATGTACATACTTTCTCCAGTTGTTGATTACCTCTAAATACAGTGCTTGACGCTACTTGTTGACTTTTGAAACTTATACCTCCGTTAACTCGGTATAGGGTATAGGAATCTTACACAATCAACAACTGGTAACAAGTACCGTCTATGAACGTAACAGCAGCTATCACTATCACCATCATCATTGTTATCATCATCATCCTTGCTTTACTCGAACACTTTTACCCAACTCACACACAACCCATCATCCCACTAAATCACATCCCCACTCGCCCTGACACCATCTTATCATTCTTCCCAGCCAATGTTTCACCCACCACCTCCCAAGACTCCTTCCATACCATCCCCCTTTGAACTACCTTTATATCAATATAATTCCTTTGGTGTGGAACCATAGGAATTTTCTCGTTTTTACCTAGTTTCATTTTTGCTTTCCTCTGACCAGGCCGCGCATTTGCGTCCGCCAGTCGGGAGAAGAACTGAGTTTTTACCTAGTTTCATTTTTGCTTTCCTCTGACCAGGCCGCACATTTGCGTCCGCCAGTCGGGAGAAGAACTGAGAGCTTAATAAGCCGGTTATAACTGGACAACTGTTCGGATCCAGTTTTCCTACTATAGCTTTTACATAACATTTGTAAAATACAAAAAATAGCACAGTACGTACATAGTGAGTGGTGAACAGAAGAGGATCACCTTGACTCAAAGAGAAACAATAGACTACTCGAGATCCTAGAAAGCGGTGTATAGATCCAGCTTATCACTGGGGAATTCCTTTCTATGCTCAGTAGAGAATTCTACATTTGGATAGGAGAACAACACATTTATACCAAAGACTACATCTTCAGAGGACAATTCCCTCTACCAGAAATCACACCTATCAGAAATCCCTCCCCTGTAATCAAACAAGAAACTGTTACGATCTCTATTGGACATTTAAGGACTACTCATTTCTTTTTACTCATTGGTCATACCATTGGACCAATGACTCATTTCCTTCACGTATACTTCTGTTCCTCTCGCATTCACAGTACCTATTATAGTACTTAGTCCTCAACAGACGGACCTGCCCTAGATAGGACCTAACTCCTATCACCGATTCCTTTCCATTATAAATACCATGTAACAGCAGTAGTATTCTCTAATACAATTCTACGCAGTTTACGCTTACAAAGCTAGACTCCTAAGATCAGACTTCTACTCAGAAGAAGACCAACTTCCATTGGAAGACCTCCACTCAGAACTACGTTCTCGAACTTGTCTTCAGATAAGTCTCTTTATAAACCTCAACGAACCCTCAGACTTTGTTAAGCACTTCATGTGTAACAATTATAGGCTAGAACAGAATCAGGATGAATCCTGAGAAAGTTCAAGCTATATTGGATTGGCCAGAACCAACTCGCATCAAAGGAGTTAGGGCCTTCCTTGGCTTAGGAAATTTCTACCGAAGGTTTATCAAAAACTTTGCAAAAATCACGAGACCGTTGAACAATGTCACTAAAAGGACATTGTTTGGCATTGGGGCACCAAGGAACAAGAAGCTTTTGATAAGCTTAAACAGGTGTTTACAACAGCGCCCATACTAGCAGTTCCAGAATTAAAAAAAGAGTTCCGGCTAGAAACCGACTCCTCTGATTTTGCTACTGGGGCTGTTCTGTCAATTAAATGCCCTGACAATCTTTGGAGGCCTTGTGCCTATTTATCACATAGTTTGCCGCCTACAGAGTACAACTATCAAATTTACAACAAAGAGATGCTAGCCATCATTAGAGCCTCAGAGCACTGGCAGCACTACTTAGAAGGTGCTAGGCACCAATTTGAAATTTGGACCAATCATAAGAACCTGGAGTATTTTATGACAGCCCAAGACCTGAACCGAAGACAGGCCCGCTACGCGTTGTACTTGGCAAGGTTTAATTATAAATTAATCCATAAGCCTGGAAGCTCTATGAGGAAAGCGGACACTTTGTCCAGAAGAGAGGATCATGCCAACGGCATCGAAGATGACAACAAAGGTGTTACCCTGATAGACCAATCAAGGGTTGCCAATGTTAGAATCGGGCAGGATTCCGATCTTCTGAAAGTCTTCAAGAAAAACATCTCCTCAGAAGAGAAGGCGCGCCTTGGTGGCAACAAAAACTATTTATGGGAAAACAGGCTCTTCCATTTTAAAGACAAAATCTATGTGCCTGAGTCCGCAAGGATCAAGGCAATAGATAGACATCATGACACTCCAGTGGCTGGGCACCCTGGGTGGCAACAAACAATGGAGTTGATCTCCAGAAACTACATGTGGCCTGGCATGGTCAAAGATGTACAGGAATATGTAAAATCCTGTCTGAGATGTGCCATGGCTAAGAATTCTCATCAACCGCCGGCCGGTAAACTTATGCCAAATCTGATACCAGCTGGTCCTTGGCAGGATATATCGGTTGACTTTACGACGAATCTGCCTGAGTCAAATGGGTATGATTCAGTAATGGTGGTAGTAGATCGCTTCTCCAAAGAAGTGGTGTTCATACCCACCAACAAAACCATTACCGCCGCTGGTACGGCGGATTTATTTAAAGATTTTGTATGGTTTACCCATGGATTGCCAGAGACAGTTATTTCTGATAGGGGACCTCAATTCGCTAGTGAATTTACAAAAGGACTATGCCGGATGCTGGGCATCAAACCTAAATTATCAACGGTGTTCCATCCGCAGACTGATGGACAAATGGAGAGACTCAACCAGGAGTTGAAACAATATCTCCGGATATTTATTAATGACAGGCAGACAGATTGGGCCAAGTGGCTAAAGATAGCCTAGTTCTCTTATAATATCAAACAGTCTTTGGCTACAGGAAAGGCACCATTCAAGGTTACTAGATTGTACCTCCCCAGAATGGGTGTAGAACCTAGCAAAAGCAAGAACGAGGCTGCTGGGAACATGGCCAAGGACATGAAGTCTGTCTTAGACGAAACGCGCAAAGCGCTATTTAAAACTGCAGAGCAGATGAAAGACAGGGCAGAGCATAGACACTCTAAGGCCCCTGATTACAAGGTCGGCAACCTGGTCTGGTCAGATACCGACCACTTAAAATTAAAAGATTGGCAGTCTCGAAAACTGACCAAAAAATGGATTGGCCCTTACCTAATTAAGGAAGTCAAACCCAATGCGGTGGAGCTGGAACTCCCAAAATGAATGAGGGTAGTACCCACGGTCAATATTAGCCGTGTGAAACCCTACAAAGGGCCACTGCCGGGACAGCGTGTAGACCGGCCTGGACCAGTTGTAGTCACCCAGGAAGGTGAAGCAGAGTTTGAAGTCCAACTGGTGGTGGATGCACAATTGAAGCGTGGTAAATTAGAGTTCCTAGTCCTATGGAAGGGCTATGGAGATGAGGACAGAACGTGGGAGCCAGAAGCCCATCTGGATAACTCCCGCAATGCTGTGCGCAAATTCTATTCTAAGAATCCCTCAGCTCCTAGGAAGCTTAGAGGCATGGATTTAAAACTTTTTAATTCTTTTTTTCAAACTATGCCCGAAAATTTAACTACCACCTCCGGTATCTGGTCTCGCCTGGAAGTCGGGCCTTGGAAGGGGGGTAGTGTTACAATAACACAATTTTTGGACCTTTCCTTTAATTTTCATTCTCCGCTTTAACCTTTTTACTATAGTTCACACTCCGTGCCATGCGGCACTTTCCTTTTTGTTCGAACTCCACTTTCTCGTGCAACACTGCCTTTATTCTTCTTTTAGACACAAAGTCTCTCACGCAGTGGAGCTGGTCACATGGGCTGCGCCCTCTGACATCATCAGCCACTGCTTTTATCAACTGTACAGTATATAGGTACAAACACTCTGTATTAGTATAAATACCCCAATAGATCAAGGAGACTCCTCAGCGAGTCCTCCTGTTGTTAACCAACAAACTCTCTGCAGCCTAAGGGGTAACCACTCCCCATTCACTACCTTTATAAGTGTGTTCTTGTGTGTGCCAGAGTAACTAACTCTTGGTTGTTACAACTTTCATTCTCCTCTTTAACCTTTTTTCTCATTTTCACACACTTGTGCCAT